GTGGCAAGATTTGTTTAAAAATATATTTTCATAAACAAGAATCACCCAGGTATGGATCCTTTGGTTTTCATTCATAAAGGACCAATAGAAAAAAATTGTTTGTTCTACAAAATAACACTGTTCTAAATTAACATCCATGCTAATTGATTTGTATGCTGGAAAATTTGATGCAACAAATTCTTGCCCACTGAGTAACTGGAAGTTTTGACAAATAAGATCCACAGATGAAGTGTTGCAGAGTTCTAAGTCTGTAGTAGATTCAGGAGTGCTGCTTTACCAGATACAAGCAGAGATTCTCCAATCAGGGGGTGATTTACCCCACCATTCTCTGACTGCTGCTTGACAAATTGGTAAATTATTCCTAAACCCAGGAAGATTCCTGCAGTTAGTCATTAATGAATCTCTTACATGGAAATTCAATCTGCTGCAAAGTTATTTATCACAGGTTGTGGAAAGACCCTACAAAATGTGTCTGAGATAAAGACATAATACAAGTATTACTTCCATGATGGTTTCTGGTTTAGCACATAGCATTTTTCATTGGCAGTTGAGTTAATTGTATTTTTTCTGTAAAATATTCATCTAATTTGGTGAAATTATTGAAGAGTATGCCCAAGTTATGGTTTTGACACTGTAAGGAATTAGAACTTTATATAATTCACCCCATCCTAAGTATACAGAAGATTAAACATGTGTTGGAAATATTCAGTAGATAATCCTGGAGTTCAGTAAGGTAGCTGTATACAAGCCCTTACCCACTGTCTCATATTTAAGTCACCATGATCTTAGGGGGCCATGTTTCCATCTGAAAATTAATATTCTATATCTTCAAACTCTCTACAATGCTTTTTGAATCATTGAGACCGTTTAATAGTTGACATTCCTGCTGTGAAGTGGGTACTTAGTTCTGATAAGGATCAGGGGAAATGATATGGGGAGTTAATTGTATTCTAACCCCCTGTTTTGTCTATATGATTATAGCTAGCAATTCAGAAAATGAAAGTTTATTTGTAATTTTGAGATATCAGTGCCTTGGAACTTTTGAAAAAGGTTTGAAATGAAATTAAAGATAAAAATTCTACAAAGGGTTTATACTATCTGGCAGTTAATTCAATGATATCAAAGTGTCTCTAACAATTTGTACAGGTCTAGAAAGATCAAAGAATATATCAACAAGAAAGTCAACAAGAAAAAAGGTTTTATAAAGAAAAGAGCACTTTAGATTTGAGTTTTTTATTGCTACATAACAAATATGAGAAACAAAATGTTTAAATGACAAAAGCTTGAGTCATTATTGGTCAAGAGAAGTCCGTGTGGTCAATTCTTAATGAGACATTTCCCACCATGTTGTTGAAATGCCAGACCCGACAGGTAGATGATTGGTTTGTTATCCACATACCCGGTGATGTTTAGATCTACTTAGGTAAGTAATGTACGTACTATTTACAGGAGAAATTCATAAGGTTAAAGAATGTGACCAGTATTAAGGAATTAATGTAAGAATTTGACTGTTGGGGATATTTGATTCATTGATCCCAGATTAGGATCTGTTCGGACATTTCAGGATAATTATGTGGGATAAGCGGGATTGGGGGGGACCAGTCTTTAATCTTTTAAAGTGTGTATGTGTGTATTCTAGTTTCCTGTTGGTCTGAATTTCTATTCAATTTGATGACGAAATTCCCAGAGGAGACAGAAGAAGGACATTTAATTTATAGTTTTCACTTTGGTCTAAAATGAAATAAAGAGAAAACGTGCATTTTGTGTCTTATTTCAAGTTGCATGACTGTCAATGAAGCCTTGGGATATCGGTTTGTCAAATGGTCGCTGATAAGCTGCTATCAACAGTATATGTAATCTTGACTTCTATTTATGTATTACAAAGAATTATGTCTCCTGTGCTCTGCCTACCTTGTAATTTAAGATTGACATACTCGTGTACCTGGGTTAGGACATGCAGAAACCGTAACGGGTCTATGTAATACCAACAACAAACATCTACAAGTGCTTATATTTCCATCACTAAAATATATGTGTCAGGTGATCTTAATCCATCTGAAGACCAGTTAGGAGATATTTATTATCTTCATGGAGTTGAACTAAAACCTGATGTGTCATATGTATATTAATTTTGGATTTTTAATAACAACATTGAAAAAGGTAATGTAAACTTTCATATTTCATGAAGTACATATTTACAGCTATATGCTTGGGATGTTTCTTTGTGCTTTATAAAATGTTAAGGACTCTTAAATCTTCAATTAACTTAGAACATCAACATTTAAACTGGCAGTTGGGTCAACATTTTGATGTATGACATGGAACTTTTGCCAAAGTTGCATTCAGACATAAAACACACTTTTATGTTAGTATCTCTTCTTCTTTGAATGGCAAGTACAAAAAATGAGGTTAACGTTACTTCTTAAAGTACTTTGGAGATAACATAGATCTAAAGTAAGTACATATGTATCCCCTAAATTCTTCCGAATCTTCGGGTGGTTTAAGTGCAGTATGATCTGATGGAACATTTTAAATCCTGAAGTCATGCTGAACAAAGACTTCCACTGATGCCATCATTATACTCTGTGGTAAATATAAGTACATTGTTACTTTAAGCTGTAAACTACATTATCTCCTGCACTTCCCAAACTAAACCCAGATTTCTGTGGATAAGGTATTTGTAAACAGTAGTTTAATGTGTTGATTTCTGGAAAGCTTGGTTAGATTAAACAATGATTCTTACTATCTATGCTTACAGTGTGCTATGGTTTTGCCAGCATTTGTGACATTTTTACAATGTACATCTAATGTTTTTGAAGTGTTCTAACGTGTACAAATATTTTCATGTGATCCAAGTACCCAGTTTCAAAGTTTGATAAATTTTCTTTGGATAGACATGTTTATTTTTTTACAAACAGTTGTTTTTCTGAGGGCCCTTTTCTGTACCTTGTTGCTAATGTGACCTTCGAATTCATGTCTTTTTTTTTTGATATATGAATCATATTAAAGTTATATTTATATTAAAATAACCACAACTTTTGTTAATAGATATATGTTGACAAAGAAACTGAAGGGGCAATATGATACAGGAATTTAAAAGAGATTATAAAGTTAAAGATAACAGCTAGGTTGTATGATAATTCAGACTTGAAGTCATTGTGTTTGTACTGACAATATTATGTATGTTGTTTTACGTCCCATTCGAGAATTTTTCACCCATATAGAGACGTCACTATATACCAGTGAAGGGCTTCAAATTTAGACCTTTACTTGGCACTCAGGGCTATTGAGCAGTGAGGGATCTTTATCGTGCCAACACCTGCTGGACACAGGGCTGTTTTTAAGGTCTCATCCGAAGGACCCGCAACTTTCACTTCAAAGTGCTGAGCGCTTGGCGAAGGAACAGTTGCTACCTATTTTTTATCGACTTAGGTCAGTCGCGGCCGGAGCTCAAACCCATGGCCTTCCAATCATTGAGCGACCGCTCTACCGAATGAGCTGGATGGAAAAAATTACCGTAGTACAGTGTACTCATAAATACAGTCATCATGAATATTTGAAGAACTGGAGATATTTCTCTGATGCTATATCTCTTCAGAATGCTTGACTATTTTAACACTTCTGTACTGTTTGTCTAATTTCCCACAAATATTTAATTGTTCCTTCCTTTGATACCACTGTTCACTAAGATATGAATTAAGAATGCATTTACAATGATATTTAAAGGATGATGTAGATGATTTCAGATGGGACTTAAACTGGGGAGGAAGTTATACATTTTGTATATACACTGTACAACCATTAGGACTTAGTTTCAATAAGCCCCAGTTTATATTTAGGTTGGATTCTAGGTGAGCATTTAAACCCATGAGAATTAAACACAGATGTATTTTGTGAGGATAAAGAAATAGGATTTTTACTGAAGTGACTTTGAAGGTGTGTAGGATGAAAAGAAAAGGTGTTTCCCAGCTGCTTCAGGGGGGAAATAAGAGAAAGAGCGGAAAATAGAAATGAGTGAAATTCAGGCCTATAATTATATCTGATCAATCTAGTAGAGGAGTGAAAAAAAAGGCAGCCAAAATTCCCAGTCATTTGATCATTTGTTTAATTGTCCACATAGTGGATAGGGAACACCTGCAAGTTCAGGTGTACAGATAGGTGAAAATGTAAAATTAATAAATATTTAAAGTTTACAAGCACTCAACAATGTAATTTTTTATAAATGATTTGAACCACAGTGTATAAACATGAGTCAGAATTAATTTAAATTCTGGAAGAGGAATTTAGATTAAAGTTAAATGTCTTAATAACTAAAATCATGCTATATACATTGTGTACACTAACTTTAATCAAAAAAAAAGAAAAGAGAGCGGGCATTGTCCTGACAAGCATTCAACAATGTAAGAAATATAATATATTAAACTTTAAGATAATGTTAAATAAGTCTGAAAAGGGAAGAAATACAGTCACAGGATATCAGAAAGCAGTGAAAGTAATTAACATAGCGTCGTCAGTGAAGTGTGGCACTGTGACATAATGGTCAATAATTAGTGAGGAAATCGGATCCTTGCTTAAGTTTTCCTTCTTCTTTTTTGGTTTATTCTTGTTTAAATTCTATCTGTACTGAGTGGCTTTATGTTTTTAATGAAATTTTGTCATTTTTGCTTGTCTGGGCAGAATTTGAGACAGCTAGTTCTCCTACAACTACAAAGTTTATAGCATAAATTTGACACAAAGGACTTTTACACTTTTATTTATGTATTTTTACTGGTATAAAGAATATGCGTGTTATAATACAATATGTGACTAACCCGAGAGGTAAGTCAAGTGTCAATTATTAATTTTTCTTTCAGCCTCCTTGTAGATAGTAGCAAAAGGGAGGGAACTCTGTGTTTTATTTCTTTCAGCTCGTAGCTTTGTTGTATCTGTTCATTCCTTCCCTGGCTTTTTGTCTCCGTATTAACTCAATCCTTTACTTTAACCTGTGTCTTCCTTTGTAGACCTGACTCATGATTCCGAATTCTCCGATTCTGTTTCCAAAAGAAGACCTATGTTTCGCAGGTTTTTACGTAGGTATCCTGTGTAACCAATGTATATACCGTATACTCCAAAACTAATACCTCACCATAGTACGTACTAATACCACATGCTTTTATACTTATTTCATACTAATATGATCTAATATTTTTAATGATTTTCATTCAAAGTATGGGATTAATACATTCGACCTTACATGTAAATTGTATGAATGTACAGAAGCGTTCTACATATCATATAACATCTAGCATCTCGTAAAAACCTCATATGTAGCATCATAGCTTACAGAATACTTAATTTATTTTGTGGTGAAGGGATTTTTTAAAGTCAGAGCAAGATATAATTTAAAAACTTTTTCATTTAATTTAAAGCTTTGATGTAAACTGTGATGTAAATTAGCTATCAACACTGTTGACGAGGAAAAGTTCCTCTGTCATTCAAGTAGTTAGTACGAGTGAAAAGAACGGAAGTTATTATTAATAAGTACATTATTTACTGATCTAAGAATCTCGCAATGAGATAAAACCTTACAGGAGAAATTAGTGTGTGGTATACAGACAGTATATTATCAAAAACAAGACAGTGAAACATTTCAAAGTAATGATTTAAATAATGACATAGGTTATATCTGTGGTTTCTCTAGCACTTGTTCCAGAATCAACATATATCAATCAGAAACTGACTGAATTATACAGTAAACCATCATGTTTTATGGTAAATCATTCTGTTGTAAATAAGAGAAAGGAAATGGCTGGAGATAGAGATGTAGAGGAAGTGTGTGGAAGCCATTAGTTACCCTGTTAAGGAGGCTAAAGTCTGGAGATGATTGGAGGGAGCAGATGTAAACAGAAGCAGATGGTCATCAATTGTCGACCAGACGGGAAACATCTGGAAAGGGGGGGGGGGGGGGATGGTTTTTGTCCATCCTCCCCCATATATCACATACTGCACTGCACCAAGAGATAGAGAGGTGTCAATGCATCAAAAAGAGAACTAAGCATATGTCATGACATTAAATGAGGTGGTGGATACAAGATTTTGAGAGGAGGATAAAACAGTGTTTGAGGTCACTGGGTACTATTATGATAGTTTTAACATGGAGATAGACAATTATTAAACTGAATTTGATAATGTAATTTGTGGCCAACTGCTGTTTAAATTAGTGGGTTGTGGCAACTGCAGAATGAATACAGCTACAATACAGGGTCAGAAGGAACATCCTGTTTGATGTTAGAGTCTATCAGTACATGTCTAATCAATGGACATCTGGATGCAACTGTCTGCACATCACTGCATGGGGCCTCCCAGGGGGGCAGATAGACTTTCCTTTTTATCAATATACTTTCCTCAGGTAACCTCAAGGGAAAAGATTAATCTGTTCCATGAATCTCAATGTGGATGGCAACATATGTATTTGTTTTATCTCTGCAGCCCCTGTTTGTGGGCCTCTTTGGGTTTTTGCACTTTTCACCTGGATATTGGATAAGTAATACTTTCTGATTGATTGGGTCTTCCATTCATCATCTGCCACTGCTTGCTTTAGGCACTCCCTCTTCTAGATAGACTACAATTTGTTTTTAGTGCCACATACACAGGGGGAAGGAAGTCTTATCCAAAGAGTCAAAAAAGTGTCAATTAGAAAGAAAAAGTAATCAGTGAGAAGCAAAAGGAAAAATGACATATGAAAAAACTTGTAAATGAAGACTGACTTGGCATGAGAAGAACTTAGCACCTTGGATGGAAGTTTTGTTGAAGGATTTACTTTGTGTGGGAAGCTGTTGTCTTGAAATCCCAGGAGAAGCTTTTCATGACAGAAGATAACCCCCTAGTCCTTTCCAATCTTTCTTCTTAAGAATCTTACAGAATTCATCATATCTGGACTTACAGTGGAGTCTTAAGAGATCATCTGAATTGTCTAGAAATTCATTACATGGACAAAGGTAATGCACACTGTTACCTGCTGTGTTGGACAGTTGATGACCATTATCAAGGGGAGATAATCATTTTGAAGTGCGGATCTTGTCCCTGAGGAGAGGAGGGGAGAAGATTGTATCAGGGTTTCAGAGATAGGATCCTCCTCAGTAACATGGAATTACATGCCTGGATGAGAGCAACAACACTCTAGCCATACCAGATCTCTGTACTTGATACCTACATATACAAAAAAATACAACATAATCAAACTTTATCCTCAAAACTAATCCATAGACTGGAATACACTTACACTGGGTCAACGGTCAGTCTGTGTCATACATGTAAAGGCCCAGTGCAGCTTTAAGTTTGGCAAAAACACACTGTGAAGGAGTTAGGTGCCTACGTATGATAATCTCTTTGTAAACAATTTGAAAAGATTTCTTTGTTAATCTTTGAATATAATCCAATTAACAAAGATTATCTCTATTGTAATTTTTTTCTTTGTGTATTGACATTTTGTTTATTGAGTGGGAGACAAAGTATTTATGTTTCAGAAATGTAAATAAGGTAGATCGTATCAAACAGTGAAAAAAAAATAATAGTGTACAGTCATAGAGTTAATGCAATCCAAACAAAAAAAACAACACAATTTTCATAGTTCAGCTGAGGTGAATGACAGAGTATTGTAAACTTGGAAAGAGAGAAGAACAGACAATCAGAAGAAGAGTCCGTTCTGAATCATTTATCTTCATCTGTGTATCTTCCTCTAAGGATCAGTGTATAATGAATTGGATGTGATATCACAGGACAAAAATATCACAACCCAGACAGGAAGCTCTGTTTTCGTTAGCTGACCGCTATCCTCGGTCATGTGGATTATACAATTTTTCAGAGAACTATGGGGTAGGTTTATAAAATATTTTTAAACCCCTTCTCACAATTAAAAAAAAAAGTAAACAGTGATTTTAATTCAAAAAAGCTTACACGTATAGTGAGATGACTAAATACTGAAATATAATCTTTTGAATCTTTCTGAGTAGTACAGTGATTAGGATCTGAGGTAAATCATTTAAATAATGCCCCAAAAAATGATTTAACAAAGTACTCACTTATTTTTACTAGGGGACATCACTCATTTCTCAGGTACGTTATACATTTGAATAAAGCATGTTGTGAATTGGACCAGTAGACTTAGAAGTTCACTGACACTCTCTAATTGATGGCTAAATAAAATTTGACCATTTGCCCTTGCATACGTGAAGTCTTGCCATTTAAAAGTCGATTTTGACTCATCTTTTGTGATCAGGGTATTAAATTTCCTGTGCAGTTCTGCTTCATCAGTAACTATTAACGGAATGGCAGCGTGTATCATCAGCAATCAATGACATGTACCTGTCAGGTGTAGTCGTCCCCATCATCCTGGGGAAAAAAATCCAGTTAATTGGATATTTTCTTGATACTTTTACAGTTTCTCAATTGTTGAGGATCTTTAATCTGAATGAGACTATAAATTTTCTGTATGTCTTTCTGTTTTGATGCCTGCATTTTCTTCAGTATTTTATTCTTCAGGAACAATGTAAGGTGTAAATCTTTCCAAAAAAGATTTTTCTTTGGATAGCCATAACATTTTTCTTCAGATTCACTCATCCCCCCTCTCCACCAACCCCATCACCCTTTCTCTCCCTACCTTTTAAACTCTTAAACTTCAAAGCTTTGAGTTAGAGTTTTAGCTTTTGTCAAGTTCCCATTACAGTAGTATTTCTCTCAATACAGAGGAGCAACAGTTGGTTGTAGATTTGTGGGAGATACACTTCGTCCTTTGTTTATACCTCTTCATTAGAGGTTCATTTTCAGACATTGTTTACTGTATGTTGTCATGTATCTGACTTGGATTCTTATTTTAACTTTATTGATGTGCTTTTTAAAAAATGTAGGTTTAATTCAATACCATCAAAAAGATCCCAATCTCTGCTTTTTCCATCGATTTTGTAAATATTTGACTTTCATCTTGCTCAAAACATCAGACCACGAAATAATTACTGGGATAAACAGGGTGAACTCTGACTAAATGAGTAAATAAATGGGGGGATCCTGGAGATGGTGTAACATTTTCCTCTGGAGGTTGAGGGAGGAAGTGGCCGAAGATGACACTGGTAAAACATTGTGTTGGAGGATACTTATTATTGATCAGTGTGTGAATGAAACACGACATGATGTTACAAGGAAATGTTTACTTCCATGGACAAATTTATATAAACGTGTAAACATACCCAATACAATCATTATCTGTGCAGATGCGAAAATGTTTTACATTTAGATATTTGAACTGATTCAGGACTATGTTCTTATACATGAAATTTTCTGATGTTTCTGTGTAAATTGACTTAACAGGAAAAAATTAAACAAAGCTTGACTGTGAGGGAAACAAATTTTTTTTGTAAGAAAGATATTTATATGACTACTTGAGAAAACCCTTGTGTCATTTAGGATTGCGATTTATAAATTGATTGGCAAACTTTCTTTTTTCGTGGTCGCTGCACCTCTAAGATAAGAAGGTTGTCATAAAAGTGTAGCGTAATCGGGGTATATTGCTATGTCGGATGTTTTTATCATGGATTAAAGATGATGAATGGATGCAATGCTCTCTGATCACCGTCCTATTCTTTTGTTATTCAGTGCTCAAACACTATATAATCTTGTTATTTTCTTTACATGAGGCCTGGTGAATCACACATTTCTGTGGATATTTTATTTTTCCGTTTGATCAATGATTTGGCATTGTGCTACATTTGCTACTAAGTGGAACAAGTTATGGACTACTGTTGTATCTGCTGGCATCTGATTGTAGTGGTTGCTCGGAGCTATTCTTTGAGACATATATGCAAGACCAATGATCAACGGTGATAGTCACCATCATTGAAAAACACTGCATTGACTGATTATGCTAAGTGTCTAGTAAAAAGGAAAAGTGCAAGATATTTATGTAAAAATTTAAAATATGGAATATTTGTGCTGTTGTGCCAACTCTGAAGATGGCAAGAAAAAGAGAAAAATACGATTTTTTGGGAGAAGGTACAAAAAGTTTGACAGTGAGGAGGTTTGTCCAGATAGTGTTGATGAGAATGAAGCCAGGGACACTGTCACTGAGGGTAGTGATGCCTGTCCAGAGGAGGAAGGGAGAGGGGGAATCTTTGGGGGTTACATGGGTAAGCTGACCATGTGAAATACATATATAGCCAATAAATATCTGCCAAGTGGTGGTATTTTGGAGGATGGATTTACTATTAATGGCATTATTTTATTTTTGTTTATGTGTACTTCAACCAGAATATTATACTTCTTTAAATCCTTGATTTTAATTACTTGTCATTAAAATTCTATATGTAAATTTGTAATTCAGTCATGACAAATTGTATTCTGTGGGTTTAACAGATTCTTGGTAACTAGAAACACTTTTTAAGATCTCCCTTCCTATTAATTTGAAGGGAAAAAAATGTATAAATACCTTAACAATACCTGAGCAATTAATCGTTTTCAAGTAAGAAAATTCTGTAAAATCTACCTGCAATTTTATTTGAAATAAAAATTCTATATTTTCCTATTCATTTTTCTCAGCTTTAAGACACAAATATTTATACTGTGTCAATAGAAATGATGTTAAATGTGTAAACACGATTTTTGTATTGTATGACATCTTCCAGGAGAGGCTTCAAAGTGTTTGCAACAGTGAACACCCATTTCAGTTTCACTTTTAAAATAATCACTGGGAAATTTGAAACACACAGAAATAAACTTTTTTCCCTATGTATTTGACAAAGGGAAAATATTGAAGTGTTTCTCTCTCAAGCAGTGGGTGAATTTCTAGAATAAGTAAAATTTAACATCACTCCTTATAGTTACATAACAATTGGTTCAATTTTAGTGCATGACATTCTTGATTTCCTGAAGTATTGATTTGTGGATTTTTGCATTTCATAATACCTTTGAAAAGAAAGTTCATTACATGATGCATCTTTTAATTAGCTATACATGTACTAACAATTATCAAATTATCACCAAAAAAATAATCAAAAGGGAAAAAGGGGGGGGGGGGGGGGAACGATACTATTAGTTTGTTAAATGTGTTTTGTTGCATGACATTTTTGTTGAATGAAGAACCATTTTCAGCTGGTAACCCAGCTTGAATGTTTTCCAATATCTCCCCAATATCTGCTGCCCTATTGATCATGATGTGAGTCATACCTCAGGAGAAAATGTCCCATCTCTGTCCTACTGCTGGGCCCAGTATTACCTAGTGCTCTTCAATTCACTATATATGCTAATTGTAATTGGTCTATTAACAAAGGATCGTCTTTACACATCTCAGTAGTGAAGACGAAGAATTCACATCTGTGTGGCAGATTCTTTCATAGCATAAAAATTCTGACTAAAACTCACTGTATTGACATGATGGCATCATCCAAGCACCAAGCACATTGATGTGTTTTAAAATTACCAATACTAAAAATTATTTACATTTGTTTTTGAAAAAAAAAAACTCTTGTCAGCACAAAGCAAAAAAGGTAGCCTGAATTTAAAGTATTATTATATTTACTTCATTGTTAGTAAGATGGAAAACTAGAAATTGAAAAAAAAATAACAGACACTTGTGAACAAATATTCTCTTCAAGATTGAATCAAGGGTCTCATCTGATGTTTAATAAGACTTTTAATGTCGGAGATTCAAGTACTGAACTGACTAGGAATATCCTCAAGTGGGTATACATTGACATCAAATCACAAGGTCGAAAATTACTTGTCGAATCAAAAGCTGTGATATCTAGAGCAGCAGATTGACACTTTCCTAAGAATTTTAGTATTCTGTAAGAATTTATAGGGTACAGATCTGATTTGAATGTCATTTTTGGGAATAGTCTATAATTGTGTGTCTTCAGATATTTTGTTTCAATATGAAAACTGATTTAATTTCTTCATCTTCAGATTCTTCATATGAGAAGCTGTCAGACCGGAGGGGAAGTGAGCCGTTGGTGTCCTCGTCTTTAGATCTCCGCGGGGAAGCCATGGACGCTAACTCCACCCCCTCCAAAATAGCGGTAAGTGAATTAATGTCAGAGCAAGCAAGACTCGACAGCTTCAAGTTAATTCAATTAGACTGGGCAATAAGTTCAGATACAATTCGTGATGCCATGTTTCAGTGCTTAGAGTACATGAGGTCTTCTTGGAAATTATAATGCACACTCCTTTACTTTTAAAATGTTGTAATTATATCTTTAATTGCTAAAAATCTGTTCTGTAAAATAAGCAAGGAAAAAACTAAATGCACACAAGCTCTTGATCAATTCTGACCCAGAATAAACTATTGGTCAGGCCCTAAAATATACAATAGCATGATAAAATTTCAAAAATATACCGGTATTTTATTTTGCAAATAGAAAGTGGAAACAATTAAGGCAAGATGATTTTTGTTCACATTTTCTAGATTCCCTTGAGTTAAAGTGTTTGGGAGAGTATATACAGTATTGCTTTATTTCTTTTGTTCTTTTCATTTGATTAAAATAAACCAATTAAATGATAAATACCAGTATTGTATACTGAGCAAGTAACCAAAAAAGTCATTTTTTTTGAAAGAGATGGAGAATTGAGGCTGTGCCAATTGGAATATGGGGAAATTATTTTGAAAATTATGTATTTGCATTGAGTATAATGATCTGCATGTAGAAAATATATAAAGACAAGAAATTTTGTAGATTTTGTAATATGGTTAGGATCAAGTTTTAGAAAAAGTTTTGTCATGCTCAAAATAATGAGAAGTGTTGGAGGACTAGTTGCCAATCAGTGTGTGTGTGTGTCAAACTATTAAAGATTGATGAAGTATTGACTAGTATGACATTCATCCCCATCTACACCCATACTCCTATATAAGCACCCCTCTCCCTGTCAATTTTATGTGGAAAAAAAAAGCAGCCATCGAATGGCATAAAAAAAAACATTACTTGATATTTACTTTAAAAATTAGTTAATCAGCTTGCAGAAAAAGTATGCAAGTTACTGAAGGGTAAGAATGGTGTGTTTTCATGTAAACCTGTTTGAATTCTTCAGAATTTCTTCATAAAGAAGGGCTTCAGCCGGTCAAGCAATCTGAAGAGAACAAAGAGTGTGACCAAACTGGACAACCGTAAGCGGTCAGCCTCCCATGTGCTGGATGGCCAGGAATCGTAAGTTAAACATACATCAGTTATCTTTCTTTACTTTAGCAATAGTTACAGAGCTGAACCGACAGTTGGAGTTATTTCCCTTTCAATGTTGTACACTTAAGTTTCAGTCAATGTTGTAAAAACTAACTTCATTGTAATTGCATGATTTTTGTATTAAGAATTCTTTTGAATCGAAATGGACTGGCAGATAATTCCTGCAAAAATTGTAAATTGACTTGATGAATGCGGTAAGGAATGAAGCAATTGTTAATCTGTGAAGGAATTTTGAAATGATGCAGATGAGCATGAATGGTTAGATCAGTGCAGTGTCTGATCCTGTTGTTTTAGTCATACGATGAGTCAGCTATTGTGTCAGGATACATGCTTTTCTGGAATTTATCGATGCAAAAGGTGATTAAAATTCCACTGTCCACTCACATGGAAATTGTCAATAAATAAAACAGGGTGCCTCCAAATGGTCTGCCTGCCACCGTCTGCTGATAGTAAGGGTTTCCGCTATTGAACCCTCACTTCTGGCACAATAGCTCTGGGCCTTGGTTCAAGGGCCACTTCAAGTACTTTTGAGAAAGGTCATTAGGGGATGTGCTCAATTAATCTTCAGCAGACAGAGGACTATTAGAGGGAAGCCTGTCTTATAAAGTGTCACTTTTCCCCCAAAATTGTCTGAATTCTTTAAGACTTCAACTGGTACTGAATTAAACTCATTGTTCAGTTTGAGTGAAACCACACAGAAATAAAGTTGAAAAATTTTGTCAAGGAGAGTCTGGTTGATCTTTATGTAAAAATCTTTTTGAATACAATATAACTATTTTAATTATTCACGTATGTTTAAGCCTGTTAGATTTTTATAAATCTGTTTAGAATTAACTTTTATGCAGAGATGGATTATTTTTGTTTGATGAAAAACACTTTGCCCATTAGGTCAGTACACATGTACCTCAGAAATAACAAAAGAAAATACCTTATCACTAAAAGATTTCATTTAATTTGCTTAGGAAAAAAAAGAGCTACAAAATATTGTCTCATGACAGAGTTTATGAGTAAATATCATGGCGAGTCAGAAAGCAGAACTCGGTCAGTATTTGTGGTTTTGGAGGAACTATCATCTTTCACATCCTCCTAATTTACAAATGTGAAGTTTTTCAGTAGGAAAACATGATCGTTGATAACTCTGCACTAGGTGACCTTTAGGTATAGATCTAGTTTAGGACATGACGTAAACATAATAAATATTGAATACTATAGATCTGCTGACTACATAGTGCATGCGTTCTATCTGAATGATGTTTAAGAGGAACCAGCTAGTACACATTATTTCAATAAAGTACTTTTTCAAGTAATACTAAGTTTCTAATTGGGTTTTCCTAGAGTTGTATCACATCATGAGCTGGGATATTTATGTAATACTGTAAATACAGTGTAATGATCTAAGAAGCAGAAAAAAGAAGGAAGAACAAGGTTCACTTAAGGCCACTTTAACCCTTTGAATTTCTAAGAAATCAAAACTGCTTAGTTTTAGTTGAAAATACATTGAATTTCACATGAACCCTTGGTGACTGCATATCTATTAAAAATGATGTAATTTTCTTGCTAGTCCATGTTATATGATGTCATGATCGATTTGCGTCATTATCCTCAAGTCCTGAAAGATTCTTCAAAAATGACCAAAGTTTGTTTTTTAATATTTTGCATAGAGCCCAACCTCTGATCCAAAATGTGCATTTATGTAATAAAAGAACTGTTTACTGAAAATTATAATTCATGCTTTATTTTTTGGATCGAGGGGTGAGCTCATATTTTAATATGAGTCAAATGCACCCATTTTCTGCAAAATTCAAGAACATTGCAATTTTACAAAGCCTGTTTTTTAATACCTGGACTCTCAGAGGTAACATGTTTTATTGGAAATGAAAGCACTAAATCTCTTCTTTATATTGATGTTTGAAATGGGACATTGGGTCTAGGTCAGATAATTGGTATATGCATGGGCAGGGCCATTTTATGGTTAAAGTTAACGGCCTAGCTCTCTAAGACTTTTAGTCTGATAGAAGGGACAATAAAAGTGAAATATGTAATACTCTGAGTGACAGTTATATTCCATTATTTACTTCATTATACATTACTACAGGACTTCATGCTTAATATACCAATATTAGATATATTGAGAGTTTTAAGAACATTTCCAATGTTAATTTCTTATCCAGCTGCTGAAATGCCTTTGTTGTCCAATCACCTGTCAGGCTCAGACAGTACTCAGTCCATTGGGATGAACATCAACTTTCACTTTTAAGAATTGTTAACACTGCATTATGACAGACATTCAGGTGATCCTTGCTGCAAACAGAATGATACATGTATTGATTATTGGAAAGGAGTCCTCCATTATAATTCTAAATGTTGTACATTAAAATGACCCCTTAATTTCTATTCTGAGTACATTTCCAATTGTTGCATGCAGATTAAGTGGATAGGGGATTATGTAAATTAATACACAAAAGATGAATTAATATGTTTATCTTCTGTAAGGCCAGTACAATTAAAGTTAATTTTTAACACTTATTTCTGGTAATCTTCCCAATAAGTTAATCTGTGTGAAACCGCTAGTGGGAATTTCTCTCAGCATGCTGATATAAATGGAAAAAATAATATACCTTCCACCCCTCTGTAATGAGTAATAGACTGAACCATTCAATTGATTCCAACTGGTGGACTGAGCCAGTTTTAGAAATCCAGGGGAGGTGTTTTACAATCTATTTTCATTTCTGTATTGATTTGAGTTCAGTGTTCTATGTTTTTTCTTCTGACTTGCTCTCAGGGACTGAGTAGTTTTCACCTTCCAAATAGTACTCACTAGTGAAACTGACCATGGGTCAAAAGGACACTTGTAAGGTAGGTCACAATTTTGCATGATTCTGGTCAGAGAGTGGTTTGTGCGTTAGTGTAGATATAGTATGTATCACACACTCTGTAGCCATAAGGAAATGGAAAAATTGAGAGATCAACAGACAATGAGAGAGCAAGAGTCAATTGAAGTTCACAAAGATAGAAACATGTTGGATGTATGGTATTGGAATGTCATTGATTACGGCTCAGTAAAAGAAGTGCCAGTTCAGGAGAGAAATCAATGTGCCTTATAAACATGCTGCTAGAGTTATCAGGAATACAATCTCAAGACTGCTTATGGCTGTGAGGGGCATAGACAGAGATTAGGAGGGAAATACTAAAAGATTAGGCTCCTTACAGTAGATGGAGGGAAAATGGGATAAATGATAGAAAGGGATGAATTTGTGCTAAAGGGAGAGGGAGGGGGTAACCTTATATGTTGGGGAGGGGGCAGGGAGTTTCACAAGGAGGAAAGACAAGAAGGAAATGCATCAGAAAGTATGATTACTACTGTAAAATAAATTGATCAGAAACAATTCCCCCGGCTTTCCAAAAATGATGCAATGTGTACATCAGGGTTGTGTGATGTAATGTGAATTTAGATGACTCTGTAGGCACACAGAGTCTTGAGTGAATGCACAAACATATCCCAAATCAGTGGTATCTGTTGTGTAAAGTAGGGGGGTCCTATTTGGAGAGGGAACTGTGCCTTAATTTATTCAGGGATAATTAAATATTGAGCACATACGGCTGATGAATTATGTTCCAGACAACATACTGCATTGTAAAAGTTTAAGTAAACTCGATTACCATAGCTCAGGGAAAAAATATAGAGAAACTTGATTAGAAATGCACCAGCTTTAGGGAATCTGCAACAGATGGATGACTTGATGATGTGAAATAATTATAGACTCCAACAGATCTACTCTCTCCCAGGGTTAGATAGCATTACACATGATTCATAACCAGCATTTAAAAAAAAAATAGAGAAGTTTGGTATCCACGAGGTATAAGTTGTTGTAATGTATTAGTATTGTGGATGGCGAGTCAATACCTGCTGCATTAGATCCTGGGCACCTCAAGAATGCACAGCACTGTATTTGATACATGTGAACACAGGATTATTAGCTTGTAGCTCAGGATTCCATTACTAGCTAGGATTCTGTTATTGACACAAGTTTGTCAAATATTGTGAAACCATGATTAGTCACAAATCTCTTCATTTCTGCTGACTTCCTGACCAAAGCAATTTCGTCTATCAACATCGACCTTATTTGCTTTCAAATTGGAGAATCCACTCAGATATAAATTTCCTAGGCAATATATACATTTGGACAATTAAGCTTCTCATTTTTTATTGGGTTGAAGTGTAATAATTAAGTTTCTCATTTCTAGTTTCATTTCCCTGAGTGATAAGTGGTTGTGAATTGAAATTAAGAATGATGTCCCAGTTTTCACATTGGACTTGTGCCCAAGTTCAGTTAAAAGAAACATTTACCTGTATTTACCTATATGAATGCAGTGATCCCCTCAGGTATTGTCAGAAAAAAAAAGTAAAAGCTGAAATAAAAACAGTAAAAAAAAGTTTGTAGACCAAGCAACAAAGACCAAACGAAAGAGTAAGTGGAATTAACCATTAATTACTCCACAAAGGAAACTGTTTTGGCAGGGAGTCATCACTATATCGGGCCCAGCTGGTGCCTTTTTTGATCTTTGGGCTGAATTTTAAAATTGCAGATTGAATACATCAGTCCTGGTAGTTTTGTGATTGATTACCTCCCTTTACCATGTGTTATAGGAAGGGCACGATAGTACACCTTTGATATGTCAGATTTCATTACTGTATTGTTTACAGTCAAATGTTAACAAACTTCTGGTGGTAAATTTTCTTTTTTTTTTAGTGAGATCAACTGTTTATCTGAGTCATTAACTCCAGATTTTCTTACATTTGGATCAAAGTTCACCAATCTCTAAATAACCTTGATAAACTGGGCTTTGATGTAGCTACATCTACTTTCCATGCATACTTAGAATCAGATCTTACATCCTGCGATAATTTCCTTTATCACTGTTTCATGCAAATGTTAAAGCTCTGTCACAAAATCCAAAGATTATAGAGAAGAATCAGTGGCAACTAAAATTCTTTATTATTTCTAGCAAATGATACAGGTTTAAAAATTCCTGTAAAAGAGGACCCTCTAAAATCTCCCATCTATTGTACATGCAGGAAGAAGTGGCTTGTTATCATTATATATATGTATCCAATGCTTTAAACACCCCTCTTTGTTTTTTCCTGTTTAAGGAGATCATGTACAAAGAGATTTGTGTATCTTGTTTTTTTTATTTTGTTGATGGTCTGACAGTTTTATTCTTTACTGGTGACAGGAAGCTCCGTACGACTGTAGATAAAATTATCTAGATTACAGGGGATTTAGAACTCAGCCATAGGTATACATTTGTATATATTTTCTGTGGCTTACATGTGTTCACAGATCTAAATAACATTGAATAAAGAGTGGACATATTATTTTGAAGGATATTGAAAGGATGTGGTAATATTTCAGCCAAAAGAAACTTGAGGTATGAAGTTTTTATTTGTCCCGGCTCTGCATCTGTAAAACATTTTCCTTTTGAACATAACCTTGGAAGAAATTTGTTAAGTTTAAGATTCTGTCACTCATTTTGAGGTTGGATGATATGATGAAATGAATCTAGTGAAAGAGGGAATTGCCCAGTGAACTATTTGTTTCAGTCTTTTGTAACGATTTTGTGCCTGCCAGCTGACTTGATGTAATGACAGATGATACAAACTTTTTTTCAAAAATCATGAAAATAACTGCTAAAGTCATGTTTATACAATTAAAAGGAATAAGTTAACCTGCATAGATTTTAATTTTTTTATTCAAAAGTTTCACTTTTATGTCCTATAAAGTGATAAAAAGTTGAATAGATCACGATTTATAAGGATGACTAAAGAAAGGTAGAATTTTGAACATCATAGAAAGTTTAAAATTTCTTAATATATGAACATGATGTGTGTATTTTAGAAATTTGATTTTTCCATCCTTTACAACTAAAATAGGTCCAAAAATATATATTTTAATCCAGGCATCCACATTTTTGTTTGTATCACCTGTCCTTCATAATGACCAACACCTCTGGCCATTGACCTTGATGTGAGAAAGAGGCATTGATTTCTAATGCATGCAGTAAATAGGAACTCGATCAATAATTTATCACTTGAACACTTTTGTATGAACACAACCAAGTTATGTACTTTTAATGTTCATTGCATGTTCTTACAACACCTGTTTGTACAAAGTTTACAGAACACTGACAACCTCTCACTACATTACTATCATACAGTAATAATTCCCTGTCTCTGGTGAATCAGACTGGAGGTGACAGTTGCTCTCGGAGGTATTGACAGGTGTCCTGATTTATTGATATCTGATTAGCGTGATTAGTATAATGTCAGCCTGTCCCTGATTTTCTTTAGATATATCCCTTCATCATGTAAGTTTCATGTTGTGTTACAGTGTTGGTCAGAAAAATATAGTATATTGCATGATTTGGGTCAATCAGAGTACTGAAAAGCTCCATTGTTTTGTTGTAGTGGGTGTCATGTTCCTTAAGAACTATTTCTGTGTACAAACTGGCACAGGGAGACAAAAATACATTTAGGAGCTTAATCGCAATAATAACCCATCTACAGGTTCTTCACTCCCTAAACTTACACGAAGGTCACTAGTTATCACAGACTATTCCCCTCTAGAGCTAACGAACAAAGCCATGGTTGTATGTGAAGAATGTAGTATCACTTAAAAGTTTCCTGACTGGTGAAAGTGACCTCACCATCTCTTATATTGTACATACATGTACATGCTGAGCTCAAATGCTTTTGGTGGTGGGTCTAACTTAACTACAATCATGGAGTAAGTCGTACACAGTGCTTTCTGAGTTATTTTGTGGTTTTTGTGTGAAGCAAACATCTTTTTATTAAAACTAGAAATACAAAGTTTCAGTGTAGTAATCTACGCACAAAATAGTGATGGATTTTTGATTCAGTAGAGCATTGTATTCCTGTTATTTTTTCCAGTGGTGATTGGTATATTTTGTATATCAGCTTATGTTGATTTGTTGTTTATTTTGTATCGATCATCATTTCTGCTTTGTTTGATGTTGTGTTTTTATTTTGATGCACGATGATTTTATATTTACATATAGCAACACCTTCGTCAATTCATTGAAGAGAACCATGAGTCTGGGCCGTTTGAATCGCAAACGAAATCGAGATATTAATGTTGACAGCCAAAGTGATCTTTCTGAACAGAAAAATCGTGTGTGAGTAGTTTATTTTTTGCTTCCTTTGGTTGCATCCTCCCAAGCCTTTGAGATTTAGTTTGGCTGATTGCATTTTTAATATGGAATAATTGACCCGGTATCATTCACTAACTTATAACAATCATTGCTCAATATGTATTTGCATGATGTATCATTACCTATCCTAGCTGATAATAATGTTAAATCATTTTAACTTTATCTAACAAATATTCATTTGTTAATGTCCCTTGTGAGCTTGCATTGATCTTCTGAAAGAATGAAAATAACAAAACATTTATTTTCAATTATACCCTTTTTGCTGTCAGAAAGAAAACATTATTTAAAAAATTTAAAGGGGGTGGGATGGGTGACAATATCCAAAATTTCCATGTTATTGTTCCAGATTTTGTTAGTCACATTAAAAAAAACTTTGGAAGTTTCGATACAATAATGGAAAAAATACAGACTCTCCTTGAATATTGAAAGTCAGGAGACTATTTTCAAAGGTCTTAAAGCTACGTATTAATCTATCTAGTCCTAGGAAATATTCTGAGAATTATCGATTAAGAGATTACTTGTAGTATCGGTATAACTACACTATACATCACATATATTTTGAACCTCCTTTAGTTTTAATAAAGTGAATGATAGTAGTAACTAATGGTTTTAATATGACTGAGAAAGTATATATTTTCTTCTTAGCTTGTGTAGGTGTTCCATTGTAACCCCAGAAAACCAACATACATGGTATGCTCATCATATAATTTATATCATTTTAGCCCTTTTAGTGTACCATATTAACAAACATATATGCTTCTATGTACCTGCTTTGGCTCTTTGAACTAACATGATAATGCTTTGTGTGACTGAGACTGCTTAATGCCATCTTAAAGGGTTCTCTCTTATCTATACAAATAACCTTGTCAAGTTAAAGTTTATGTCTGTTGACTGTGTCATTACGTCATTTGTATTGCACATTCTAGTAAAACTCATTATAATTATGTCGTCATTCTAAAATTAGTCTCCTAAAATTGAAATGCCCATTGGTAGGACTTGGAGGGGAGTTGCCATTTTCGGTGTAAACCACTTATGTTCGTACGTTTGATAGTACATGTCGATACAGAATGTGCATGTGATAGTTGATTACCTCATCTTCAGTACTTGATCAATTCCTGTTTGTTTTGGCTCGTATAAATTCCCTTCCTTGAACTATTTTATAACATTATATGATGTACAAGATGGTAGAACTTAACCCGAGACTATGTGTTCAACGTTACCCAGTATTGATACATTGACTCCAGACTTCAAAAAGTATGCCAAATTCTTCATTAAAAACGGCAAGGTATTGTACTCTCTCAATATTTATTTACATTCCTTTACATTTCTTTATTATGTAACAGTGGTCTTTCAGATTTGAATAATTGGAGGGTGTTTCTGCTATCTCCTGTGTCATCTCTGAACATAAATATAGGTCTGTGAAAATGATTACATCAATGTTCTGATGATTACAAGCTGTTCATTAGTAAACTTGTAGCATTTTCATATTCACTAGCTTGATTAATTCTCTTCATTCTTCTAATGCCTGAAAATCAAGTATCCTTATTTATAGATGAATCAAAGTGTCCTTACATTTTCCTTTTATTACAGAATGCAGTGCTTAAGTGCTAATGGCTCTAATCTATATGAATGTCACTATAATGCGAAGTTGATATTACTCCATGTATTGATGTGCTTTTGTAGTTGCTTCTGTCTATTTTTGCATTGAATACCTAAGTGATCTTCAGAGAATACATAAACAGATTTCCTGTTCCATTTTGTATTTAGATAGTTAATTGAAGGCTAACATTGTTATTTGTGGGATACCTGGAGGTGTTAATTTGTTAAAAAGCCCCAGTGGCCATTAATTACTGTAAAAATTTGGCCTAAAGACTTGACATGGTGAGATTTTTGACTGTTGTACAATGGTGCTATGTAATAGTGCAACATAATCATTATAAATGCTAAGGTTTATTTATTGACAAAGTTTAAAAGGTGTCAAGGACATCAGACTGTGATTGTCAGGTGTAGTTAGTGAATGACTGGACAAACGAAAGGTAGATTGCCAGGTAGCTGGAGGTGTAGGAAGGGCAGGTGTGCTCAGGTAGTAACAGGTCACTCATTCATGTTCTAAAACAATCATGACCAACCGCCGCAAGAGTCTGGCAGAGAAAATGGACACTCTTATAAGGAAACGGAAAAACAAGTAAGGTTTGATATTAGACCACTTTTGTTTAGATAACTCGTGTATGTTGGCTTGCCGTAATATTTGAATTGTCTGGGTGAGATCTGATTGGATGTCATTGTTGATCACTACAGAAAGGCAGGTGGTTGGGGAGTTCAGATTTTCTGTCTCAGCAAATTCTTTTTTTGGCAAAATTTTCTTGACTCTGAACAGATGTTTTCACTTCTTCCACGTACAATGAAGATTCCCTCTGACATAACGAAGCAGCTCATGTTTTTTTTCCACCTCCTCATTAGAAAAAAAATAGATACTTTGCATTTAATGTGTATGCTTACACTGAAGCATGCCTGCATCTTGTATATACCTTCAATTATGAGGACGGTGGCATATTGAAGACGTTGATTTACTTGGTAGGAGGGAAGGTGTAAACAGACATCCACATTGTTTATTTCTGGACAGGATGCTAGTTGTATTGTTGGATGTAGTTAGACATAATTCCTCAAAGGCAGGCGCGCTCCCAAGAAAGGATTTCACAGGCCAGCTGGAAGGCTAGCATCTAGACACTGAAAAATGTGTAATATTGTGTGATTTTGTGCATTGTGTTTTGGGATTTATAATAAAAATGTGGAGGTAGGATGACTTTGATAAAAAAAATTTAAAAATTATTATAAGTAGAATTTAAGGATTGTACTGGTATTTTCTCATGGATCTATTGCGATGAAACTTCTGTCGTGGTATTAACAACATTTATATACTTAGCCCAAGATTTAAAAAGAGTGTATTAAGGTGTTCAGTCGTGGTGTCATCAGGGTACAGTGGATTTTAATGTATTGATAACAACAAAAAATAAATGACTAATAACTCAAAAGATGATTAAAACTACACAAGTATTTAGGTCAATCATTCTGACATCATTAGAAAAAAATTGTGTTTCGATCATTTGATTATTAAAGCAATATTTGAACAGCTTTCAAATAATCTAATTGATTTTAGGGGTATCCATTGATTCATAACATTGTTTACTTAATTTGTTTTGAATTAAGTAATGAGTTTGTATGTCAGAAATTGACTGTTAGGTACATAGGAGCTGTGTAATCGTGGTTTCTCTTTCAGGGTCCAGTGATCACTAAACATAAGGCCAGCAGGGGGTCAAACCACCTTAAATGGTGGTTACATGTTTTCTTTATTTTGTGTATTTAATTTCCCTTGATGGACTTAGAGGATTAAAGTTGATAAGCTGATTGTAGTGTCATTCAGTTGTATAGGGTGAATTATCTATATTACATAATCAAAGGACCTAATACAGGATACTGTGAGTGAGATCAATGTAGAATAATCAGCTTCCGATGAATTAATTAAAGAAACTACATTGATTGTGTTCAGAGGATAAAATCTTCGGGTTGTAGTTATGTTAGTGATATGACAAATATTCGGTCTTACGCTTATGAAGAGTTCCTTAAAAGGTAACTTAAAATTACAGTATTGTTAAGTTATTTAAAATTTACTTTATATAATTAGGATATTTATTTTAAATCAATACTTTGTTTATATTTCAGAAAACTGGAACATACATTGTTCCATTTATAAAATTTTCTAAAAATGTGACAATTGATAATTATCTTTAAAAAAAAAAAACAAGGTATACAAAAGGGAACAAACATAAATTTCTTTTGTTTGATTAATTATTAAACTAAAAATAGATATTTCTCATGTCCTGTGACAATGACCGCCAGATGGTGGCAGGAAATATGTCTGACTCGTAATTACAGAATCAGGTGTACGTTAATATTTTTATCTACCTGAGGTTTGTGAATTGTTCTTCGTGTGTATAAATGTCATGAATCTGCCATATTCTTGGCCCTTGTATATTTCTTGCCAGAAGTAAAATCTCTGAATGACTGAGTCGGATGACTTTGGTATAGAGATCAGCAGATGTTGCTCTCGGCTGTGTTGGGGGAAGACTTCTGTGAACTGTGTCTGTGTTATTTCTGGATTAGATTTAACTTTTTAATGACTTGTGTAATTAAGACTTTGTGGACTGGAATGATTAGCATTTGAGATGAGGAACTTTACTAATGCATTATAATGTACAAACTTTACTATTAATGTCTTGCTGTGATAAAGGTCTCTTGCCAGATAGTTTATATGAAGGACATACCACTGTGTAAATTTGTTTAAGGTATGACATTGGGATCAGATTTCTCATTCAGCTGTTGAGGACAGGAAGTGAAGATTTTATCATCTTACAGAGGTGTTTGGGATTCTATTCATAGAAGACATAATTCTGAAACTGTTAACTATGGTTTTTTTTATGTATGTTCTGTAAATAATGGATGGCCTTCTTTTTTTTCCCAATGCCTGGTCAATGATCTTTGTATAGACCAAAAATAAAGGGGACTGACTCATCAGGACCTGTCAGAGACTTCCCCTGTGTTAAGGCGTTGTTCCAGTGTGATCTGGATATTTGGAATTGGCCTGACAGAACTGAATCTGTCGGACTTTTTCTTTGGTAGATATCTACTCTTTGATTTACAATGCGAAAGTTGGGTTTGTTCAATAGGATTTTGGATTTCTGCCATGTTTGAACATTGATTTGTGAGCTTTAGTTACTGTCACAGTCTTCCATTCCGTCTGTTGCTTTGTTCATTACGTGCACCAGCAAAAGCTGATGTATCTGAATCTGTAACGTGCAAGTTTAGTTGAAGTGTTTCCATTGCGGGAAATAAACATGAGACGGGACGAGTTGGTACATTGTTAATTGAGGAAGATCATCAGAGTTTCCAAAGTTAACCTTCCTGTTATATGATTTTATTTTATTGTTTGTGATGAATGGACTATCATAGGTCAATTGAAATAAAACATTTGTTCTTGATGATCTAGGATATAGTGTTCAGCACTGAGGTACTGCCCCCATATTGTGTTACATCTTGTATCTTAACCAGTGATGGGTGAGTTGGATTTATTGCCAGATGAGAAATCTTGTTTTTCTGTATCACTGGCAAAAGTCAGATAAGTTTGCCGCCAGCCTCATAAAAAACAGGATACAGCATGGGAAAAGATGGACCTTGTATCTGAGGTGGAATGAAAGTTAATCTGTTGACTGTAATCATTGGTGTCTGTCATTAAATATTGATGTTAATTAGCTGTATTCTGAGCACACCTTTATCATACCTACTAACATGCAACGTCACATAGGTAAACAGTTGTTATAATGACTTTAGTCCTTGTTGTTAGTGAAAAACCTCTTGTGTTCATGGCATCATGCAATAAAAGCTCGAAAAATCAAAAGAAAGAAAAAGACATTAGGCTGTAGAACGTGCAACACAGTATTGATTTTACATGCAGGAGAAAACGGTAGTAAAGGGATTTTCAGATGGCTACATCTTTATGAATATTCTTGGAGGGAACAACTGTGGATTACTGTTGTGTCAACATTCGTATTTAAACATTGGGATCGGACTTTTCCATATTGCTCGTGTTTTTATCATTGATTTCTGAATGTTTCTGATTTGTTAACAGAAGGCCATTGTCAAATATGGCCATTTTTCAGCGATTTTTGAGTGTTCCGGGAAATTCCAGTCCTACTCCAGACTCGTGGCGAGAAAGAAGTAGTGAAAACTGGAGAGAGAGGGTGGACGTTATTTTTGATGTGCTTGTATATCCTTTCAGGAACATCATTAATTCTCGGATCCGTTCCTCGAGATCCCATGAATCCTTGCTGACCAGCTCAGTGACAATGCACTCCATTGACCTACAAGGTCAGGACATCAACATAAAGCCATTACATAGCAGCGTCCTGGGGAAGGAACACTGTTTCCAGGTGGCCACCAGCAATGGCAGCAAATATATTTCCTGTCGGACATCCGAGGAGAGACAGAAATGGCTAGGAAGGTAAGAAATACGAAAAAACACAAGTAAAATATATAAATAATGATACATGCTAGTTATGTTCGTACGAAACTTGATCACGTTGAATTTTAAGAGAATGTGAATTTTGATACAAATATTTCAGAGGTGACTCCTAATTGGTAGGATGCAATGTCCCTGTGTAAATTACCTGGGGTATTAAAATAAAGGTCACCTTGTTGAATGTCAGTAACTTAAACCAAGTATACCCTTTTCTTGATTGTGTTGGGAAAATAAAACATTTTCAAGGTCATAATTTCATACATGCTTCATGAATCATTTATGCAAACATCAGATGTACCACTCATACCCATAAAATTCAGTTCTTTAACAATTTTAGCTAATTAATGTATTGGAAATCAATTAATCCCATTACTTTGTTCGATAAACAACAATGAACGTTTCCCATTCCATTAGCAATTCTACAACCTTAATGGAATACACAACGTAGCTGTAAAACGAAACCTACTGACACCTTTATTATGTTAATGTTTGAAGTTCAATGAATTCATATCCAAGGAGCACTCCCGTTAATCAGTTCATTTTGAATACCTCAAAAACATCCGAAAAAAATTACTCGAAGTAATTAAAACCCTCCTGTCTGTCTGACTGTTTCCTGAGAGAAGACAGTTTTGTTACAGATGTTAAATCAGTGTGATTTATAAAAGTATAAAGGTATGATGGTTCTTTACAGTTTACGAAAAACCGTTCAACCTAATCAGGATAATATGAGGAGAACGGACAATTCCTTAAAACTCTGGATAAAAGAGGCCAAAAATGTACCATGTAAGAAAAGGTAAGTTTTGTTTTTTTACTTTGGAACAAAAGCATAAGATATAACCTTGAGTTATTATATGTCTAGTCTGTAGGCTATACAAAGAATAAAGGGAAATCCAAAACAAAGAGATTTTGAAAAGATACATTTCAGAGGTTCATAAAGTTTACAATGGAGGAAACTGTATGTCATGTATTTATTTTCACTGAGTGGGCAGACCTATGTTTTCTGAGAGATAAAGGTCCTATTTGATGAATTACCCCGTGTGACAGTTATGGCCTTTAACAAAGTAAATCTGTCAAGTAGATTGGAGGATGTATATTTTTACAGTTTAAAACCTACATGTAGACTTGATGTCAGCACATGAACATAACAATTATACCATCTCTCTATTATCTAGAGGTCAAAAGCTTACTCAGGGGTTATAAGACAAAGGGATTAGTGAAGTAGGAGCATTTGATGTACTGGGTATATATTTTCTTGTCAATTAAAGAATAACAAACAAAAGAAAATATATAAGGAAAAAAATAAAATCATGTCAGATGAGTCATAGAGGCTATAGAGGATTAATCAGTTCACCTGAGCATGTGTTAGACCTTTGTTTATGTTAATTATTCATCCACCAGTCATACATATGGCTAGCAAGTGTTTACTGCTTGTGTAGACAGGAAATTTTGAAGCTGAAAGTACTTAAGAACTCATCGACCCCATTATGTAAACATGTATAACATAGCCCCATATATAAGATACTCAAGATATAAAATCTGCAATATCTTGTGAGAGAGAAAAAGTCCTTGTTATTATGATATCTATCTCTTGTGTTGAGTGTTGAGTGGGAGTGATGTATACTCACTGAGAAGAGAAAGCATCAAGCCAGTCTGGGACCTTAGTACAAGTCCACCTCCTCAAATTGTCCTCTGAGAAAGCTGATTTTAATTAAGATGACCTTAATATGTTCAGACAATTGGTGGCTCCAAAGATATTACAGAAGATACACCCTCTGTCCTTGTAATTAGAGGTCTCAAAAAAAATGAATGAAGCCATCACCTGTCCCACGATTTCCTATGAAAATGTCAACTGCTAATTTTCTCCACCTTCCAGACAGTCATATCAGTGGGACTGAGTTGTACTTTCATTATGCTATTAAGGTTTTTATTTTACAGGTATTACTGTGAGATATGTATGGACCACACTCTATATGCACGCACATACAGCAAAACAAAGTCAGACATGCTGTTCTGGGGGGAACAATTCGAATTCAAGTAAGAAATTTTTAACTGAAATCATACTACCAGAAGTTGAAATTAAGAAGGATGATTCAAATCTCAATGTTGTTTGAAAATTTGTAACCTTCATTTTAAAATACTTAATCGGGTAATCGTTTCCTTTGACAGCAATTTGAACCCCGTGGAGATCGTGACTGTGAACCTCTACAGAGAGGCAGACATTAAAAAGAAGAAAAAGGACAAAAACACGAAAATAGGTATGGTCAGGTCTAATTATAGGGTGGCACTAGCCTCATTGTGGTGTCGAGGTGACAGAGAGGTGCCCGCATAAGGACATATTAATTATCTTTTAGGGTTACCTGGTACAGAAAATTTACAGAGGTGACTTTGACGAGGCAATTGATAGTGTTAGCACATTAGAATTTAAAGTTTTTATCTGTAATTATCTATCCATTTAATTTCCATTATGAGGCAGATAAAAAATTTCCAATAAATATGATAATGTTTTGCAGGATATATAAATATACCTGTTGCTGAAATTCATGGACGACAGTTTGTGGAAAAGTGGTTCACAGCAAGCTCAGGGACTGTTGGGAAAACGGGAAAAGAGAGCAAGAGTGAACTCCCCTTGATCCGATTGCGATTGAGATACCAAACTGTGCACATACTCCCTAAAGATCTGTATCAAGATTTCACACAGGTAAATACAATAAATAGATACCAAACTCTCTAAAGATCTGTATTAGGATTTCATTCAGTTTAATACAATAGATACATGTAGATACCACAGCAACTAGGAAAAACCATGATGTTTTGTCACAATTATAGTCAAAGTTTGTAAACACAAAGAACTTGATGCTATTTGTGTAATATATGTCAGTCAAATGAATTGAAGGGTAAATGTGTAAAAATATTAAAAGTCAAAGCTTTATTCGAAAAAATAATGCCAACCATTTGTATTGTGTAGGATATTCCAGCATTAGTTATAATGCTGTGTTTTTGTTTTGCAGTATTTAACAACAGACTTCTACACTTTGTGTGAGGTCATGGAGAATCTCGTTGGAGTTCGTGACAAGGAGGACATTGCCTCCACCTTAGTCCACATCATGCAGAAGCTTGACAAAGCAAAAGAGTTCCTCACTGAAGTTATCATTGGAGAGGTGCTTAAACAAGGTATGCAACAGGTGTCAGTGTTACTGAACGAAAGCAGTTTTTGTCAAACTTCACATAGTATTGTAAAGAGCCCCTCCAAAACAATGTGGGCAATTTGGAGGATGAATAATTTTTAGTTCGTCTTAAAGATTTTTTTGTCACTAATGTATTTGAATTACTAGAATGTTCCTTTTGAGAATACCACTTCATTTTAAGATTTTTACAACCCACTCTGTGCAAAAATTCAGAAAAAAAAAACATTTCTTTTCATGATAGAAACTTGGACAGTGGTAAGCTTTTTTATATCAAAGTGAAATAAGGAATAGGTTACAACCTATAATTTTATAGAGATTTTGTACACAAGAAGGCTCTTACCGAGATGAACACATAATTGGTCTTTTAACAGATAATCAGCATTTAACATTTAGAGGAAACAGCATTGGAACAAAGGCCATGGAGGCTTACATGAAACTAGTGGGAGAAAAGGTTGGCACAAAAATTACCCATAATCAACTGAAAGAGTTTTACACAAACAATCCTAAAGTAGTTTCCTTTTTTTCTGGAAAATGCTATTTTTGTATACAGTCAAACCTAATATTGGCTCATATCTCAAACTCAACTAGATAAAAAATAAGAGATCACATGTTCCAGATACTGAAGTTCAGTTTTATATTTATAGAAGAAAGGAAGAAAACACTTAAAGTTCATATAACTTTTTCATTTGATTTTTACTGAGAACTCACCAATGATGTGTGAATTATTTCAGTACATGAAGGATACCCTGAGTGACTTTGTTCATACTATCATCCACTCAGAAGACGACTGTGAAGTAGATCCAGGCAAGCTCGCCAACCCAGCCAGCATTACAACTCACCAACAACTTTTGGACATGTACTGTAATATGGTGTGGACCAAAATCATCAGCTCCCCTTGTTACTTCCCAAGGTGTGTATTTCATTGTTAAATGATGGAAAGTTCAACATCAGTTGATAACTTACAAACTTGAGATGATTTCATTTTCAACAGTGACCTTTTTCAAATACTCAAATGACCATGTCTATATTTCAGTGAATTGCGTGAGGTGTTCTCCAGCTTTAGATCAAGCTGCAACAGTAATGGGAAGACAGAAGTGTCCGATACTCTAATCTGTGGCTCCATCTTCCTAAGATTTCTCTGTCCTGCCATTTTATCACCTAGTCTCTTTAATCTTACTCAAGGTAGTTATAACCAATGGAAACATGTTTACTACCAACATGAAAAATAGTCATTCAATATAGAATTAGTGGGTTTGAGATTTCAACAGTGCTAGAAAAAAGATGCCTTACTTTATAAATATTTTTGATTTCTAGAGTATCCGCCCGAGAAGGCTGCCAGAAATCTGACCCTCATTGCCAAAACCATCCAAACTCTCGCCAACTCCACCAAGTGAGTGACGTATTCCAGATATCTGTCAAAACATCAAAATCAGCTATTAGGATTTCTTTATGATTTTGCATAAAATACATGTTTTTGTTGAAATTTACTTCAGATTTGGTGGGAAGGAGGAATATATGGAATTTATGAATGATTTCATAGAGAAGCATGATGGAAGTATGAAAGAATTCCTGGATCAAATTTCTGTAAGTCACTAGAAATGTAGCTACCACAATATGAAAGATTTTACAATTACAATAATCATCTCTTATTTCCAACAAACAAATCTCTGAGGTTAATGGTGTTGATTTTGCTACAGAGTGCTAACAATGGTAACCATCTTCTGGATTACGATGGCTACATTGACCTTGGGAAAGAGCTCTCTTTACTACACATCCTTCTCACTGAAAACCTAGAGAAGGCTAATCAGGTTAGTGGGCTACAAGTCAATAATTCCTCAAATACCTCTCTCTCTGAACAAAATTTATATTTCTTGGATGGATGATCATCAAAATTTCTTTTGCTTTTAGGATACTCTGATGAAATTGGGTAAATTACCCAGCATTCTCAGTAGCATTACTTCGGCCATTGAAGATCCAGATGTGGGGAAAAGTGTACAAGTGCCAAATAAGAGGAAATCTCAAATTTATGACAATGTCAGTGGCAGTATTCAGCCTGGGACTTCTCCCACTGAACTTCTGCGGAACATGTTACGGCAGTGCGGCGAGGAAGACGACATCCCAGTACTTGGTGCTCGGCATTCACGACAAGGCAGTCATTTCAGTAGTGGACAGAGCACAGTTGTTGATTATAATGATAACGATGATGAGTATGTGATAATTAAACGTGTTCTCACAGACAATGTGTCTAATGTGTCAGCAAACTCACAAAATGTCACAAGTGAACACTGTGTGAACCAGAAGTGGAACGACATTGTGAACGCTGCCGATAGCAGCCATGGTGATTATATTGACCTCATGTCACTCATGGACGATGATTATCAGAACTCTTCAATGGAACTGGAGCATAACATAAACGGAAGTCAAATGTCTATCAGTCAGGTGTCTACTGTGACATCAGGATACCAGTCCTATGGTTACAGCCAATCAAGTTCCCCTGTAGACTCATCCAATCATGTGGAAGGAAATGCGAGACCTTCTCAATCCAACAGTCTCCAACCTCTGTCTTTCTCTAATCCTATGTACAGATATAAACATATGAACTCCTCCTGCAGTAATTCTAGTCAGTGTGTCACCCCTTCCCCTGGGACCCAGGGGTCAGCAAGTTCTGGGTCCCTAAGCAGCGAGGAGGAGTCTAGTGTAATCAGGAACAAAAATCCCGCCCCCTGCCGCCCAGACTTGAGTGATAATCCCAGTGATCCATTAAGAAATCTCGCCCCGAAACTTTCCAGCTCGAGTAGCTCGGAATCTCTCAATGAGCTGGAAAGACACAGAATGTACTCAAATACAAGAGACTCCTCACATAGAAAGGAGGCTGTTAACCTCCATAGTTCATGTCCCTCTAATGTGTATGATGACTTTCACAACAGCAATTATGAAAATACCCAAGGATACTCATTAAGCCGTGCCCCTACTCGCCCCAGTGAACTTTCTCATACAGGAAGCATGGACTTCTCTCAGCTGCGTCACTATAATCGCTATGGCGATGGTTTGCGGAGAACTGCTACTGATTCTGTCATTGCTAAGTCTTGTAGTGCAAATCAGAGTGACAGTGGTGCAACAATACGAGGTCAAGGGTCAACAGAGGATAGTCCCTCACATCGTCGTCTTTCTCCACAGAATGCTGTTCACATGGGAATCCGATCAGTACAGAGGAAAATAAACGAACAAGAAAAGACAAAGCAAGAGGTAAATATAATATATAATATTATATAAGATATATGCACATTCCAGATAATGGATAATTTCTATGGTTGTCCAATATTTTCAGAATTGTGCAGTTCTGTCTGAATTGCAAATAGAATAGCAAAATATTCAAATCCTATATCTCTAGTAAGTGCAGCATGATTGAAATTGCTAAAATTGCAAACAGAAAATAGTAACTTTTAAAGGATCAAATTGCAAAAATATTAAACCACAAAAATTACCCATTATAATACAGTACATGTAATACTATATATAACTATTCAAAATTAAGGGAAGATAGAAAAATTAGCAAATCAAGGGAAGTTTGTATCATCCATTCTGTTTGATCAATTGTCTTTAATTTTATTGATATTTGCTGCAACTGAATATACAGTGTATGCTGACTTTGAACAATTTTTTCGAACTACAGAACCCATGAGATTTGTGTAGGAGGAAGTAAGATCATCAATTCAACATATCTTTGTAAAATCCTAATACAATGTATTTCCCACATATTTATGTAACAACAGGGATGAGTTGAAAGTCAATTAAATAATGTTAGATCATTGTTCTGAATGTTTTTCAGTACGAGCAGGAAGTGGCCTTATTAAAACAGCAGTTGTACGAGGCCCAACAAAGGCTACAATATGCTGAAGAAAAATTGTACAAACATGAGGCAGACTCTGAAAAAGTACTGGAGGATTGGCAATGTCGCCTGGAGGAAAGTGAGGAACGAATGCGGCGCCAGCAGGCGGAGAAGGACGATCAGATGAAGCACATTATCACAAGGTTGGTTAACGGTGTGCCTCATTCCGATCTCAACTAACCGACGGCAGTAACAGCTGGTGGTGGTAACTAATTTTAGTCACATTTAGTTTGTCCCGTACCGGTAATTCCACACAGCAGTGTACATCATACGCTCCGACACAATCAATGGGTCGCTGGCAAATTATCTTAGAAAATGAATGGATAAATTATTGTGAACTTTTTTCTTTAATTTTTAGTCAATTAATTTTGAAGCTTATACACAATGAAATATGAAATAAATTTACCTAGTTTATGATGCAATGTTTGTTGATGTAGGCTGTGAATTGTGGAGATACTGGACAAAGAGCTCTCTACCTGTCACTCTGTCACTACCTGTCTGTCCTTCCCACTAATGACAATATATTAACATGTTACTAAATATAGCTCTTATGACATCAGCTATTTTCATCTGTCTATCCGTATATTGGTCAGTAAAGAATGAGAAAGTTAAGTCTTGGTAATCTCCCTTTAAATGCAATCTTCAGTTTTCAATAAATATTTCTATTTTAATTTTGAAAGTCTTTTATGTTAATTTTGAACTTTTATTTCACTTCTCTGTTTAAATTTTTTAATGCTCTTTCAAAAAATCTTGCATAAATTCTGTTCACTTATACCAATTAAGCATCAACACAAGAAACCTATTTTAATGAGTGCATACATATTCAAATAAAACTGTGAATCAGCATGTTTGCTGCCTTGTGTGTATTGTTGCTTGTGCTTTGTATATAATATTCTTGTTTTTTGCATGAAAAAACAACACATAATAGAATTAATAAAGAATCCATTATCCTTTTGCCTGATTTTGTTCTGCTATGTGGAAACCAATGTTGTTGAATTACGTGTACTTACTAACACATTATAACAAATCTAAGTCTTACTGAATTTTTGTTTTTATGTGGTTTACAGATTAATGAATGTTGAAGGTGAGCTTCGCCATGACCAAGAAGAAATAAGGACCGTAGTCAAACAGAAGCAAAAGGTCATCGAAGCGCAGGAAAGACGTATAAAAACTTTGGACAACGCAAACGCCAAACTGATGTCTGCGCTCCATCAACTACGAAGTGTCTCCCAGACCAACAACAACACAATGTTGGGACCCCTGCGCTCCACTCTTATATCGCCGGAAGTGGCCGAGTTCAAAACTAGCTCCTGTTGAATCCAGGCTTTAAGATGGCTACACGTTTTTAGTCTCGTGTAACTTTGTGATGTTCAGTGGTGCTTATCTCTGTGACTCATTGTGGATATTATTTTGTGTTGAACAAATGGCATGAGACAGCATGTGTTTCTGTACATAGTGCTACTATTTACAGTACGGCAAACAGTTTCTTCTGTGATGAAGTGAAAAAGGTTGTGTAATAGTCCAAGGGACATTACTCTTCTTTGCAAAGAAATCCAAACATTTGTGCAATATATTTTTGTGTGAAGTATATTAATTAGTTGCATGATTGTATGAGTGTATATGATAGTTCTGTTATATTGTGATGTGAATTAGTGCATAAATTTTTTTTGTAAGTTTTGTCAAATGTTAAACTTGCAATCTTGGTTTGCCATATGTGGAATATGCACTTTAACAATATTGACAGTTGCTTTAATTATATATAGGCAGGGAATTCATTAATTGGTGCAATGTTTATTTCTTTCACAGTATTATATTATCTAGTGATCAAGAATTGACATCTAACAACCGAATCATGTTTATATTGGCGATTTTTGTTGTCAGTGATCGAAATACTTATGTCACTGCCAGACATCTCTTTTTAATATTCACCTGCATTTATTCAGCATTGTAAAACTGGAAAGGATGAAAACTAATATACCCATCATATTAAGAGTATACTGCAAAAAAAGAGTTTCTGGTTACTTAGTAAAATTTAAATTGTAAATTTAAAAATGTTGCCAGATCTGCTTTATCTGCATTGTTTATACCACACAGAAGTGTTTATAACAGTATTTATTTGTTGATTTCTGATTACAGAAATTACTGCAATATGTAGGCAAACAACATCTGAATCTGAAAATATAATAAAAAGAATGAAATTTCATCTCAGTTTTTATATCTCTCATGTGAAGGAAATTAGTTTGACATATTCTGGACAAAAAAGCCAGTATGATTGTTTTCTGTGATTTTAGTAAAATGCATGTACAATAAGGTATCACTCAGCCCCAACAGACAGGACTGTATGTCATTACAGTGGTGTCTGTACATGTACTTGACTGCATAAGGACTTTGTAAATCACATATTGAACAACATTTGACTTTTCTGTGCCATGTAATACATGTACTTAGCACTAACTTTGTAAATCACATATTGAACAACATTTGACTTTTCTGTGCCATGTAATACATGTACTTAGCACTAGTTAGCACTAGGAACAATCATGGAAGAGATGAATTAGTGGTGCCTGGGTTCAAAGGTCAGAGACTAAGAATTGTGACAGGTTTGGTACATGTACAAGAAGAGAAAAACATGAGAATTTGATTTTTGGTTAAAACTCACAAAGGACTTGTAAAAAGATTGGCATCGTTTAAAACCTGGAGTGTGATTGTAGGGGGAACAAACTCTGAATGATGTCTAAGATTTTCTTTTGAACAAGCATCTAAGAAAAAAATTAAAAGTACATATGTACTAGTAATAACTGTTGTGCCTCAATGGCTCATTTGGTAGATCTATGTCAAATGCTGAGCAATAAAAGTGAGAGTCATGGGTCTCCAAGATGAGACTTTAAAAACAAATCGCACGTTACAGTTTAGATATCAACAATGTAAGATCCTTTGTGGCACTGTCTTGTAACAACAAAATCAAATTCATTCAATCTAAATACCGGTAACATTCTGTAATTTCAATAAATAAAAATCTGAAAATTTCATCAGACTTGCAATACTGGGGGGGGGGGGGGGGGGGGGGGAGAAAATATTCTATTATGAAGAGTTTGATAATTATAATACATGTAGTGTAATTGTGTTGGGAACCCAGCCAACTGAACCTGGTCAAATCAACATGTAAACATGACTGATTGAATTTTAATGTATCTTTTTTTCACATAATTCTCTGGAACAGGAAGGATAAATCCTGATAAATCAAGAGTGTGTATAAATGTAATACAAGAGTTATTCCTCTTGATGTACAAAAATTAGTCTATTACTAAATTTACCTTAACTTACTCAGTTTTTTTTTTTCCAAAATAATACTTTCACAAAGCAATGAAAGCATCACATATGCTCCTTAGAACACTAGTTATATAGATTCAGTATTTAAAGAAACTGAACTCAACATTAACATCTTCAAGTATTTAATTAGTAATAAGTACATTGTATATATATACAAATAATATCAACCAAATAGATTGCACTGAAATATAAAATATCTGTAAGATCAAACAACCAAATTTGAAATCCTTATCATCAGATACTTTTCTTTTAAATAACAGACATCTAGTTGTTTGCAAAACAGTATGGGAGAGAAGTTAAACTATGTACTAAATGTACTCTTCGATATTAATGCTACTATCCAGAAAATACTTGTGCAGGAATCTTTAAGGGTATAATTTATTATTTACTTGTAGATTTCTAATTATCACTGTTAATTCTAAATTAAAGATCAATTAATGTTTACATTTCTGTGTAGGTTTACTGAGAATTGAAATCAGAAGTTTAAAAAATTCGACCATATCATCTTGTACACCATGCTGGCGGAACGAGGTTTATCCTCAAATACAGCAACCTGACATGGAATATAATTATCAACAATTGAAAGCAGTTCAGGATTGAACAAGTAATATACAACTATCCACATTGATTTTGTTACAAACTGAATATATAATGAACATCAAGGTGTCACTGCTAGTATTGCTATATAATTGACAAAATATATTGATTCAACAAACTACTACTATTTAGAGCACAAGTTCTAAAACATATTTATTCTATAGAGGAAGGGATGGATCAGGCAGGATTTGAACCTGTTCCCCCCAAACCCTATAGACAGGAGCTCTACCGACTGAGCTATCTGGACTCTGGTGAACAAACCTGCCTCACAGCCATTATTTTCACAACACAAAATTATAAACATAATGTACAGTGGTTTTTAGGAAAAATGACCCTCCAGTCTAACAAAGGAGATTTTTTTTTATAAATATGACAGCGCTCTAACAGAATAATGAGAGACAAAAATGAAACTGAGGCAAATTTAATGTTCTGTGTAGAACAATTTCTGAGACAAGCTTTTTATTTTATAGGTAGAGAGAAAATGATGAATTATTAGATTATATAGAAATATCTCTCCTAGCAGTTCACTGAGGGTCTTACCTCCATCACAATCTGACCTCTACATGACCTCCAAGATAGTCTGACCTTCAAAATAGTGTGACCTTCACAGATCTATGACCTATAGAACAGTCGGACCTTTATCGTCCTCTAGATATTTTGACCTCTACAAATCTATGACCTCCATAATAGTTTGACTTTTATATGATCTCTAAGATAGTGTGACCTTTACAGATGACCTCCAAGATAGTGTGACCTTTACAGATACCCAAGATAATGTAACCATGATTAACTTACTCTACCTGCAAAATGTGATTCTTAGAGACTGCAGATGGTTACCCCAGCTCTATAACTCCAAGAAAGTTTAACTGAGAGTAACTTACATCACCAACAAAACATGACCCTACTCACTGAGCCCTCAGATCATCACACCCTCTTTTACTTTAAAAATAAAAGAACAAATCTATTTACTCAAAGCAATCATATAACCTTAAGCTTTAAAATAGTGAAGAGTATCAAAACTAATATTTGTTAACACACTTGGCATTAAATTACTCTGGTCATAGAATAACTTCTGCTCTTTCAAAGTGCCAGGCAAAAGTCAAGTTGTTACCAAGAAAAAATTAGATTAAATACATGTATTAAAAAGCAAATTTCTAAGTAAAAAAAAAATAATCACAGATTAATACCGTTTTTAATATATTCACAGTTATATAATGCTTACGGGTGTGTCTCATTACAGTAATTAGTTTTAAATTGAGATTTAATTATCCCAACAATAATGAATGTGATCCTAATTTAAATTGAAATCTGACGAGATTATTGGAAAAATTCAATTCAGCAGGCTGTCCACTTTAGAAATCCTTTGTGTGTATACATATAAAATATGAAAATATCACATTTGTTTATTCAATGGAAATCAATAAGGATTGAATTTTAATCATCAAGCAATGCTTTCAATTCCATTTTGAACTTAGTCACACTAGTTTGGAAAATTTAATTAAGTTATGCTTCTCTCCAGCTAGTCCAATATTAAATGATCCTAAAATTTAAACCTGGTTGTTTTTTTTTAATTATTAGAGTTTGTCAATTAGATAAAAAGAGCCAAATCTGTGAACCTACATGTATAAAGTTTCCACATCTGACTTAACTCATCTCACTATTTGGGAAACCCAAATAATAAGTTTACCTTTCAACATATACACAGTGCTCATCTTATGTTAAAGTTCACCTGACCAAGGGTCTACTTTGAATTTTTCTGCTTACACATCAGAATAATGGTTTCAACTTTTTTTTTTCAAAATTTTAAACAAGAATCAATAAGATGCCTAATTTTTAATGAGGTTTAGTTGTAAATATAAGTAAGGGAAAATTATAAGAGTTACCAGTAAACCTTGAATGAGTCTAAGGGTTGTCCTCACTACAGAGTTAATCCAGATAAACCTGGGTATATGTGGGTTAGCTCACATTGCATCCACCCTAATCATATTTCATAACTTAATACAGAATTCAATTGTGATGCTATCACGTCACAGTAATGTACTTCGATGATAAAGTTTAGTTTAAATCCCTCACCTGCAGTGTGAACATAACATGGATCAATCAAATGTTGTGGATGAAGTTAATCCGAGTTAAATTGATCCGGATTGACTTTAAAAAAATTGCCCTTAAGTTTCTCTCAAGAACTATCAAAGATTTCATAGATCATCATTCATACAACTTACAGAAATATTTTTCATATATTGCAGGTTAATTGGTCAAAAAAGGACTAGACTAAAATAAGTTAACAGCTATATAATATCTTTCTTGTAGTCAACAATACAGTGCCAAATACTATGGGGGTCCACTTAGCCTCTTTTTGATTCTGACGCGCTATGACCACTAGCTCGACTACTTGTCCTTTCTTCAATCGTTGTCAGTTTACTGTTTTTTGGAGAACTGTTCAAGTCGTTTGAGCTGTTGTCATTGATTGGTTGATCTAACGTATCATTTGATTGGATGCTGTGTGCCCCTGCTATGGTAACTGTTATTTGTTTTTCATCACTACTAGCATGATTCAGTGAATTTTTTACTTTGCCTCCTTTCTTGAATTTTGGAACTTCTTCGCTTACATCTGCCTTGAAATGGACTTGCTCTGAAAATGAATTTAACAGCTTTTAAATAATATCTTTCCTTACGGAGGATTATATACAGATATAAATACAAAAAAAAACTCAGTAAATACAAGAACTTTGGCAAACAAACAGTGAAAAGTTTAAGTTATAAGATAAATATAAAGTGACTTTATACACATAGGGTACTCTAAAATACAATCTGAAAAATTGGAGATTCCAGAAATATGTCAATCATTGTTACCCTGAACAAACATTTTATCAGGAAAGAAAATATTTGTTGACTGAATACACAAAATTTCACAGTAAGATTTTATTTTTCAAGCACACAGATATATGATCCATGGTATTCAAGATATTAATGTTGGAGAAACCTAAGTTCAACTGTATATAAACATTCACTTTTTTACCTATATAACTGTATATAAACATTCATACTTTTTTACCTAATGTTTTCTTGAGAAAATTTGGATATAATAAATCACAATTTATGAATCAATATATCTTGGTATTAATTGACATATATTACAAGACTTCATATTTGTATTGGACCTATAGGGCTGCATTATATATCGTACACATTGGACTTATAGGGCTGCATTATATATCATACGCATTGGACCTATAGGGCTCCATTATACCGGTTTATCGTACTAGCCAGTCAAGCAGCTAAGCTAGAATATCTATGTCTACTGAATGGGCTGTATGAATTAATGCTTGTTATCCCTACATAGGGCGGACTTAGATGTTAGTTTAACTTTGTAGCTCTACCTTACCTAGCTGCTACGATCTTAAACACTGCTCAGAATTCTTTCTTATGGTGAATTGGTTTGATATTGTTTTTAAACTTCCCTGTGTCCAGATAGGTTTTATGAAAGTATTTTATCTACAGTATGTATTCAATCACTAACATACACACAAAATGTGGACTAAATAATGCAAGACTTTCATTTGAATGAAAAAAATCCAGAGAGTAAATAGTACAGTAAAAATAAAACAGACAGGTATGATTTTAAAAGAAACAACATGCTTCTTTTATATAGTTCTATGTACACATATTACATAATTGTGAGACAAAATAGTAAATTACTTTTCACTAAAAGAATTAATAGGGCAGGTTCCCCTGTGAGCAAAGAAATTCTCTACAAACAAAACCAAACTATATTAATCAGCTTTGTCAATGGATCATGTAATTATTATTGATTTAACATGATGTATTGTGTACACAATCTTACTTCGGGTACTGTTGCTAGGGACGGGTGAACTGGTTCCCGACGTAGCCCTAGATCTCGTCCCCAATGACAATCTTTCTCTTTCTTCCATTATTCTTCCCGACATTTCCTAAAAAACAAAGCAGCTCACATAGAAATCAAAAATGAATTAACTGACACTCATTCCAAACCTGTACTTGGCTCTTGCTGATCAACTATACCTAAATCAGTAAGTATATAGATGAATTTGTGGGCTCTCCATACCATGAAATCAATGGAAATCAAATCCCAGCAAAAATAAAGTAACCTTGGAGCACATGTATATAGTAATCTCATTATAAAGGTATAACCCTGTTTTTTTTACTAGCATAGTTACTTATGTTATTAAAAAAAAGTAAATATCTTTTCAGTAAATCTTGGAATTACTTGTGTAGGACACATTTTGGTTAATAAAATGTCTTGTCACAATGCAATGTGTTCTTTACCGCACTTCATAATTGGTTGTGTAGGACACATTTGGGTTAATAAAATGTCTTGTCACAATGCAATGTGTTCTTCACCCTTGTTTACACTTCATAATTGGTTGAGTAATGACAAGACTCAATATGTGACCACTTGTCCCTCAAAAATTTGAATCAACTATCCACCCTGGGATATTTACAGATCCTGACTTTGACAGCCAGCAGTCCTTTCATCTCTCTCTATGATTTACTTCTATCTATAAAACCCTTACACTCTTGAAGGAGTTTTTCAGACTTTTTGAAAGCAGTCCTTGCCTTCAATCAAATACAAGTTAAATGGAAAATGGAGTTTTATACATCAAAGACTACCCTTAAGATAAACCTGAATTATATATCATTGCAAAGATAGTGGAAAGTTCATACAAAATAAAATTACACTGAAAAATTTACAAAGTCATGCAAGACACCTTGCCTTTATCAATTTCATTCATGACATTATGATTTTCAGTCATAGTGTAGGTTTTTAGTTATGTAACATGCTTATATTCCCATCACATTAAACATCAGTGACATATGATGCTACCAAAGTGTTGCTCTAAAATCCACTTTTGTTTGAGCACTCCATTATTTTTCAGGAATGGAGAGTTGCAAACCAAAAGAACACCTTTTTTGGGGTATTATGTACAAGTTCTCCCTAAATGTACCCCTTGGTGCTAAGCTCGTTAGAACTTAGATGTTATAGTTCATAAAGAAAAAGTATGGCAATCTTGGTTATTGAATACGGTATTCTCACCATGTAAATCGGGTACTCTCCACACTAACCTACCGAGTCTGATGATGACTGGGCTCTTTGTCATACTATATAAGACTACAAATTATTTAAATGTCTATTTATCTAATTAAAACATGTCTGTATCATTTATAGACAAACAATAATTCCGAGTATATAAAGTTTTGTTTGCTATCAGGCAGCTCCTGTTCCTGGTATTGTCGTGACTTACAGACTCCTAATCAATCAAGTCACGATGATATCAGCTAATTATTGACCACTTTTATTCTTTGGCTTCGTGATGTTTTCACCTCTGTCATCCTCAGGTGTACTTTACTTCCTTATCTAATTACCTGGTGTTAATTTATAATCAAGGTGAGATATTAGACATTAATCCAGGTAAAATCTACCCTGATTCTGAAATACCTGCCTGACTTTAACTTGTAAAAGTAACTAGACAGTGTCTCAATACCTCAGATAGCACTGTGGATCAATACCTGAAGATTCAGATACATCTCACCAGATGGACAACAAGTAAATTTAAAGCATTGTGATTCCCTGCTTTCGGTGTCTTATTTGGTTGGGACTCAGTGATCTATGGCATATTTTAACTATCTTGTTTGTATGTCCTGTTTTGTCTGTCCATCATACAAACTAGAACTGTCCTAAAGGGACAAATACCCACCACAGGGTTTTTAGAGAAGGTGCCAAGTCACTAATACTAGTATTTGATGGATCTAAGAGGTGTTCACAATTTGTTTAAATATTTAGAGTGAAAATTTACTGATAATTGCTCATTAAATTTTTGTAATGAATGAAACTAAGGCGCAGCCTAATAAAACATCAATACTTATAATATCATTTTTTTTATTACATTGAAAAAGTAAATAACAATTTTTCAAGTATTTCTCTGTTGGAAAGTACGGATGCATTATTTATCCATTTTTTCTACAGTGACTATAGGTCAAGATTATGACATACCCTCAGGTCATAAGCAATCTTTGTATAAAGTGGAAACTCATCAAGTTTATCCATAAGAAAGATATTGACTGGACATGAATTATGAACTTTTTCTTTCAGTGACCTTGAACTTGCCCAAATGACCTTGAGTCAAGGTCATGACACACCCTCAGGTCATAAGCAATCTTTGTGTAAAATCACAGGTGCTTGAGGACAGGACCCCCCCCCCCCCCCCCCACCCCCTAATATAGACCCCCGGGCCTTTTCGACTTTTTTCTCATAAATCATCTTTCAATGACATATTTCTGATATAATCTATACCAACAATTCGAAAAATTACCTAAAACAAACATTTTATAAAATCTACCCCCTCTATATATAGGGTAGGGTAGTAATTTTTATAAAATGTTTAAGTCAATTTTCCGAATTGATGATATGGATATTATATCATAAATGTATCATCCATCCATATATAATTTATGAGAAAAGAGTCGAACAGACCTGGGGGTCTGTATCGGGGGGGGGGGGGGGGGGGTCCTGTCCTCAAGCACCTGTGTGTAAAATGGGAACTCACCAAGTTTATCCATAAGAAAGATATGGACCGGACATGAATTATGAACTTTTTCTTTCAGTGACCTTGAACTTGTCCAAATGACCTTGGGTTAAGGTCATGACACACCTTCAGGTTATGAACATTTTTTGTGTGAAGTAGGAGATTCTAATATTCCTCCGTAAGAAAGATATGGACCGAACACGTTTGCACAGACAGACAGATGGACAGATGGACAAGGTGATTCCTATATACCCTCCCAAACTTCGTTTGCGGAGGGTATAAAAACATAAATTTTGAATTAAAAGGGTTACGGTCAACATTAAAGCTTCTTAGAACTGCATCAACTTCAAGATCAAGGTCATGAGGTCAAATATAATACAAGCACTATCTTTTCTAATTCAGAAGTTATGACCATGCAAGCTGGTTAAAGTTTTTGTGACAGACAGACTGATAGAGGTAAAGACTGACAGATAAATGAAATTTAATGTCCCCTTGCCTTCACAAAAGGGGAGGACAAAAATTACAAGTGGTCAGTTGCTGAATGGTACTGATGCAGCCTTATTAATTAGAATAAAGTTGATGTCATATTTATATAAACATATAGAATTCTTAATTCAATAGTCAATACACTGATGCCAGTAATGTCTTAGATTTCACAGAGGGAACAGTGTCTGGTCATGTTTGGACACACCTAGGCAGAAGTTATGATCATACCTAGGCAAAAGCAGTTTCGGTCATAAGATGGTCACTTTGATTCCCTTAATTAATACCATCCACTATCCAAAGCTGTCTGGTAGTGTATATCCCTAGATGCATCATTCATGCAAGTCACCATATGGGGCTTATAGTTACCTTGGACCTGCTCCAAAACTTAAATCTGGTCCATGCAAGCTTGGTCAGTTACTTTGGAATGGACCTGCTCCAAAACTTTTAACCTGGCAATTCATCTTGAAAATATAGGTGAGATCCTTTGCATCATTGATGCATGTTTAGTTTCCATGGGGCTTTAATACACATAGTTACTTTGGTTTGCTCTTAAAACTTTAACCATCACCAAAAACATGATCTGGTCATTCTTATGGAAAATAGATCTGCTCCAAAACTTTCACCAGTTGGATGCCAACCCAATGCATATAACATAATAAAAATTCTATGTTAATTACGAGAGGTAATTGATCTGCCTTCTATACTTAGTATTGTGATTACCTTGCAGTTTTCTAACTTACTGCTGCTCTTTTGCGGTAAAGTTGAGAAAGCTCAAAATCTTTCAAGATTTCCAGGACATTGTTTATGCTAGTGACAATTGAATCATATTCAAACAATCAGTATGCTGAAAGTACAATGTATTGCTGAGGGTTGCACTTCAGACAGTAGATTGTCTAACTCAAAATGTTTAAAGTACGTACTTCCAAAAAGTGATATAATAAGAGAGAAATGGTTGAATTTAATTATACACAGGGGGAAAACGTAAATTCTGCTATAATAGTGGTGTATCACTATTATAGTGAAATTCCGCTATATTTTCAGCCATGTATATTTTCATTTTCATATTTCCATACCCGTTACCTGGCAAAAATCATCATTTCTTCTGAAAATTCGACAAACCTCTTTCAATGTGGGTTGAAAGTTATTACAAGCATTAATTTGTGCACATGTGTGAGAAAAATTGAGATTCAGTCTTTTCTTGAATACTACCGCAATCACTGGTTGCTATGTTATAAATGTAACTTCCGTTTTAAAAAGTGTGTTCGCATTATTAAACGCATCAGCATAAAATTTAATAAAATTTTTAACATGTGAGGGTGCCAATTAGTGTCCATTTTTATACCCACCATGACTTGCGCTATAAACTGCAAGCATGTTATTTGATGAAATCAAGGATAAATACGGCTGAAAATATGGCGGAATTTCACTTAATACTGATACACCTCTATTATAGCAGAATTTACATTTCCCCCCAAGCTCAGTGGAGAGTATCAACAAAAATGTAACACAAAAAAACTAGCTCCTCTTAAGTTTTATTAGCATCAAGATATTTCCTATTTCCACTCAGAATAGTTCTGTTATAAGTTACTGCAATATGAAGTATTAGATCATTAGAAGCTCTTGGACTAATATTCCCTGCTGGGGGAGTTCAATTTCACTGCAACTTTGCTAGAAAATCTGAGTATGAACATTCAACATATTAATTAGATACTCAAGCATTTCATAATTTTTAAGAACATGTTTAGTGTACCAATTCCCTTTTATTTTTGTTATTTCTGATGTAAATGGAAACAAAATTGATTATAATGGCACAGGTGCAATTTTTTTTTTTGTATGTGATAAAATCAAGTACCGGTAACAAGTTTTCAATAAAATTGTATCATATTATGTCACAAGAAGAA